GAATGTGATGGACATCATTATCCAAAGTACATGTATGAAGACATGAATTGGTGTCAACATACTTTATATACAACCAGAGATATGAAAAATTGTGCTCTATATGTGTAATAAGAATTGTAATGCATTCTACTGTCATATATTTAAAAAATAAAATCAATAAAAAATTAAAAAAATTAAAAAGTGGCTTGTATTTATGAGAGTCAGCAAGGGTAGGGAAGGGTTATGTGATTTTATAAATCTAGGCTTGTGGCACACAAGTGTTTTTAGAAAGTCAACCATAGAAACATGGGTGAGTAGGAAACAAAAACTTTCTTGCCTTAAGGCAAAGACTTTGTTCTTGTTTAACTTTATATTTGCTGGGTATTAATCCAATTTCTGTCACTGCAACAAAGTATCTGGGAAAATCCACTGAGAGGAGGAAAGATTTATCTTGGCTCATGAATTTGCTGATCAAACCCCGGCTGTCATTACTGTTTCTGGGCTTGCAGTAAGGCAGGACGTGATAGCATAAGGGTGTGTTGAAGCAAAGCTTCTTACCTTATGGCAGCCAAAAGCACAGAGAGAAAGAATGGAAAGTGACAATGACAAAATAAAACCTTGAAACATATGCCCCCACCCCACTAGTTCCTCCAATTAGAGCCCACCTCCTATTGCTTCCACCATTTCCCAATAGCACCAGAAACTGTGACCCAAGCCTTTACCACATGACTTGTGAGGGACATTTAAGATCTAAACTGTAACACTAGGTGTTGCCAGTCCTGGAGGGTAGTTTTAGAAGCTGTGGTAGATCAAGATATCAGGGATCACCAGGTTATTCTCATATAAAGATTAACATTGTTTGTTAGGAAGTTTCCCCATTTAGGTTATCCTAGGCATATAACAGGCCCAAAGTACCTGCAGCATATGGATAAAATATATACTTTGCTCTGACTTTCCATGCATTTTGGTGGTAGGCTAAAAATTTCTTCTTACTTTGAGAACTAGTCAAAACTAACTTTCTATTCTGTTTTCTATATTCATGTGTGTTTGTGTGTGTGTGTGTGTGTGTGGTGATAGGTATAAAACCCAGGGCCTCACACATGCAAATCACATACTACTACTAAGCTACACCCCAACCCCATCTTTCATTTTTATTATGAAGATACACCTTGTTTTACCGACATTTTATGTTTCATCCAACAAGGAAACTAGTCCCTTATTTCCCTTTTTCTATAATAGATCAAAATTAATGCAATGGGTCCCAAAAGCCAGTCCTTGAGAAAACAAACCTCACTTGTTGCCTTGGACAGATGCCATCTGCCAAGAGATTTCTATGAACAAAAGGGTTTGTATGACTTTATTTGCTCACAGAACAAGTACTTCTCTCTGGATTGGATGATTTAAAATCTCCAGAAACTATTAATGCTAATATTTGTAGAATTTTAACAAGCCATTCCTATCAGCTTCTGTGCATGTTTATTTATGTAATATGAAGACCAGGTCCAGTATTCTCTGATGCTGACATATGCCCCAAGTTCTGAAGGAAACACTCTGGTTTTATGACATACCAGCTTAGGACTGGAAATGATTTATTCTAAAGCTATTGCTTCTAACTCATTTGCCTCCCATGGAATGGTTTTCACATGGTGTGATTGGCCTTTCCATTTATTTCCATTGTTTTTTTCTCTCTTTTCCACCTATACATCAGGTTCCCTGTGTCTGCTGCTGGGCATGTGGACATGACTCTAGATATTTATTCATTAAAACTCAGGTTAGATTACTGTTAAAGTTACAGAGAAATGTCCCTAATGTTCTTTCTCTCAGCTCTTCCCAAAGCATTTGATTTTCAGAGAAAATGTAGAAACAGAATAACAAAACTCAACAAACCAGAAAACCAGTTGACATTTTGTAGGATGATGTATTCACATGAAAATGCCCTAGCAACAAGGAATCTTGTATCTGAAACTTGATAATCTAAAACTTGTTTTGTGCTTTCTCTCTCTCTCTCTTTTTAGGTACAAAATGCTAGCGATTTGCTGATCAAACCCCTGGAAAATTTCCGGAAGGAGCAAATAGGTTTCACAAAGGTACATTTTCTCCATATTTGTAAGATATTTTTTAAAATGACTGAGTTGTTGTTTGAGCTACCACTCTTCACTCTACAATGGTATGATGATACATTTTATGTATCAAAATATGAGGCCACAGGATGCCCAAGTAGCTGGTTAAACAGCAATGGCCAGAATAGATTAGCATTTCAATCCCTGTCCCTATTCTTACTAAAGGAGATTTGCCTAACCATTCAGGGCTTGAATATAGAACAAAAAGGTAGAGAATGTTTGAAATAAACTCTGCCTGACTGCATAACCAGAGGTGTTGATTTTCTCAAGACACCATATCACATACTCCAATACTGTATAATAAGTCTCCTGGGTTGGTTGATCAATATTTCTTTCTTTTTTTCTTTCTTTCTTTGTGTATAATTTTATTTCTGTTTCTCTGAAGAGCACAGACTAATAAATACGTACCAAGAAATAAGGTGCTGCTATATCAAATAGCCATTTATCATTTAATAATATGGATGTATTCTGAGAAATACATCATTAGATGGCTTTGTCATTGTGAAAGTACCATAGAATGTACTGACACAGACCTAGATGATACAGGTCAATCACTTAACATTAGTACTTTGTGCAGTCAAGAGATATAGTAAATACAAGTTATACAAGGTTGCTGACAGCATAACACGGTATACTGTTTTATAGTAAACTTCTTTAATCAACAAGAGTATATTCCAAAGATAAAAAGTATATTAGAGGACTGGGGTTATGGCTCAGTGGTAGAGCGCTCACCTAGCATGTGAGAGGCTCTAGGTTCGATCCTCAGCACCACCTAAAAATAAATAAATAAAATTAAGGTATAAAAAATGTATATCATAGTAAGTACATACAGTTAAATAGTCATTTATTATCAAGTATTAGGTCTCTGGTTTAATTCCTAGGTCCTTGATTCACTTTGAGTTGAGTTTTGTGCATGGTGAGAGATAAAGTTTAATTTCATTTTGTTACATGTGGATTTCCAGTTTTCCCAGCACCATTTGTTGAAGAGGCTATCTTTTCTCTAATATATGTTTTTGGCACCTTTGTCTGAGGTAACTGTAATTATGTGGGTTTGTCTCTGTGTCCTCTATTCTGTGCCATTGGTCTACAGGTCTATTTTGGTGCCAATACCATGCTGTTTTGTTACTATTGCTCTGTAGTATAATTTAAGGTTTGATAAAGTAATGCCACCAGCTTAACTCTTCCTGCTAAGGATTGCTTTGGCTATTCTGGGTCTCTTATTTTTCCAGATGAATTTCATGATTGCTTTTTTCAGTTTCTATAAGGAATTTCATTGGGATTTTGATTGGGATTGCATTGAATCTGTATAGTGATTTTAGTAGTATGGTCACTTTGACAATATTAATGCTGCCTATCGAAGAACAAGGTAGATCTTTCCATCTTCTAAGGTCTTCTTTAATTTCTCTCTTTAGCATTCTGTAGTTTTCATTGTAGAGGTCTTTCACCTCTTTCGTTAAGTTGATTCCCAAGTATTTTATTTTTTTGAGGCTATTGTAAATGGGGTAGTTTTCTTATTTTCTCTTTCTGAGAATTTGTCACTGATGTACAAAGGCATTTGCCTTTGATTTATGGCTGTTGATTTTATATCCTGCTACTTTGCTAAATTCATTTATTAGTTCTAGAAGATTTCTGGTAGAATTTTTGGGGTCTTCTAGGTATAGAATCATATCAGCAAATAGTATTAATTTGAGTTCTTCTTTTCCTATCCATATCCCTTTAATTTCTTTTGTCTAATTGCTCTGGCTAGAGTTTCAAGAACTATGTTAAATAGAAGTGTTCCAGTTTTTAGAGGGAATGCTTTCAGTTGATCTCCATTTAGAATGATGTTGGCCTGGGGCTTAACATAGATAACTTTTACAATGCTGAGATAAGTTCCTGATATCCCTAGTTTTTCTAGTATTTTGAACATGAAGGGATGCTATATTTTGTCAAATGCTTTTTCTGCATCTAATGAGACAATCATATGATTTTTATCTTTCAGTATATCAATGTGATGAATTACATCTATTGATTTCCATGTTGAACCAACCTTACATCCCTGGGATGAACCCTATTTGATCGTGGTGCACTATTTTTTTTGTATGTTTTTGTATTTGATTTGCCAGCATTTGATTGAGAATTTTTGCATCTATATTCATTACAGATATTGGTCTAAAGTTTTCTTTCTTTGATGTGTCTTTTTTCTGGTTTTGGAATTATGGTGATATTGGTCTCATAGGATGTGTTGGCAATTCTGATTATAAAGTGGGAAAGACTTGAATTATATTTATGTTCTAGTGTTTTAAGGATGGCAGGACTTGTGTGCAATGAAATTGGATATTTAGCTGAAGATATTTCTAAGCATACTGTTAGAGGAGCAGCTTATTTCTTCTTTCCTGCTTATAGTAAAATGCAAGAAGAGAGAAATTGAAGAAGGAAGTCTTAAGCAACAGTGAACCAGAAGTTAAAGTGTTGGAAAATTCTCTATTCATATTGCAAATAATGAGAAAGAAGGTTCTGAAGAAAGCATGAATAATGTGGCTGAATGACTATTTGATATGTTTAGTTTGAGTATAAACCCAGGATCTAATCAGTAATCCAAAGGAAAGCCTACATAGAAATAGGATTATACCAGCAGAATCACTGCCAGGTGGGACTAAAGGAAACAGACAACAGGATGAATGAAGTCTCTGAACAGAAGTTCTTCTTCAAGAAAAGTGAGAGGACACATAGGTAATTCAGAAACCATCAGGATTGCCACACCCATCATAGGCCATGGGGGCAAATCTAATTCCTTCTCTGTTGCAAAGGGTAATGTTGCCTTTCTAGTATTGAAGACTGTGATTCTGTTGCACACTGACTCAAGGAAGGTACCACTGCAGAAAGCAATGTGGCAGCCCCCTTTCTACTGTCCACAGTGGCATTGGCAGTTTCCCACCTGGATAAAGGGGCGTAACCTACCTGAAGATGTGTAAAGGTGACATTGCCATCCTAGTGGGCCTGAACACCAGAGCATCAAGGCAAAGAACCTCAAGATGTCATTCAGTTTGCCTTGTTAGATTTTGGTCTTGCTTGAAACCCATCACTCCTTCCTTATTTTATCTTTCCCCCTTTCAGAATGGGAATGGCTTCCCTATCCTGTCTTTTTTTTTTTTTTCTTGGAAGTACATTATTTGTTTGGTATCACAGGTTCATAGCTGGGGAGGAATTCTGCCTCAAGGTGAATGTATCTTCATGATCACCCTTATCTGATTCAGATATTTAAATGAGACTTTTTGAGCTTTAGATTTTTGAATTGAAAGAGTTAAGACTTCATGGCTTGTCAGTATGAAATGATTATATTTTAATGTGAGAACATGAATTTGGGGCTGGGGTTGTGGCTCAGTGGTAAGCGCTTGCCTAGCAGTGTGAGGCCCTGGGTTTGATCCTCAGAACCACATAAAAAATAAACAAAATAAAGGTATTGTGTACAGCTAAAAACATAAATATTTTTTAAAAAGAAGAATAACATGAATTTTGGGTGCAGTAGGTAGAATGCTTGAATTGAATATTTGTTCACCCACAAATTCATATTTACATATCCTATCCCCCAAAGTGGTTGTTATCAGGAGGTAGGGTCTTTGGGAGATAATGGGGTTGTGCTGGTATAACCCTCAGACATGATATTAGTGCCTTTAAAAGAAGAAGCATGAGAGAAGTTATTTGTCTCTAGGCCACTTGAGGACACAATGAGATGATGGCCATTTGCAACTAGGAAGAGGGTCTTCACCCATCATTATTCCTTTGATGCCTTGAGCTTGGATTCTCTTGCCTCCAAAACTGTGAGAAATAAATGTTTGTTGTTTACCACCCAGTCTATGGTGTTCTATTATAGTAGCTCAAACTGACTAAGACAAAGGGTGAAGGAGGTTAGTCTCTATAAGAAAAATAATTATCATAAAACATGGGAAGGCTGGGTGTGATGGGGTATGCCTGTAATCCCAGTGGCTTGGGAGATGGAGGCAGAAAGATCGAAAATTCAAAGCCAGCCTTGGCAACTTAGCAAGAACCTAAGAAATTTAGCAAGACTCTGTCTATAAATAAAGCATCAAAAGGACTGGAAATGTGGCTCAGTGGTTAAGCAACACTGGGTTCAATCCCTAGTACCAAAACAAAACAAAGAAAACAAAAACACGATAGAATATGGATTTGGCTCCTGGCTGTGTGGCCAGGTAGCTCTGTATCTATCGATAAGTCACTTCTCTTTTCAGAATTTCACTTGCTCCATCTGGAAAACAGGGAGCTTGATAATAATAGCTATCATTTACTTATTATCTGTTTTGTACCTAGCTCTGGGCTAGGTGCTTTACCTTCATTGTCTAATCACAAAAACCCTATGAGCTTCTAGTGTTATTCCATATTTCACAGGTGCAATAACTAAGGTTTGTTCAAGATCAATAATACAACCAAAAAAAAATGTAATTGTGAAAGTGGTCTATATTTATATCTGAGGGTGTTCGTAGCTTCTGTTTTCACATTCTTTCATTTAGTCTAGGTTTTCTAGTTCTGTGCTATCTGTTATGATACTCAATAGCTATTTAAAATTAATAACTCAGTTCCTCAGTCTTGTTAGACACATTTCAGGTGCTCAGTAGTGACATGTGGTGGTGCTACTGTATTAGGAAGGTCAGATACAGAACATCATTGAAGAAAGTTCTGTTACACAGTGCTCTGTCAGATAATCTCAGATTTATTTCAGCTTGTCTATCCTTTGGATCTCTCTGAATCTTTGGTGTCCCATAAAAGGGAATTTATAATTTTAATTTTTAGTCTTTTAAGCTAGGTGCAGGTCTGTTCCCACTGTGTATCTCATATTCCCCAAGTTATGTGGTCTTTCCTACCAGGGCTGAAGTATAGCATCTTCACCAGCCCTTTTAAGAGTAAGAATGTACCATCCAGTAGGTATTACTTGAAATATTATGACAATCAATTTGGATAAAGAATATGAA